AGCAAGACGTAAGGTGGCACCTTCATAGAATATCCAAACTTTTCCCCTACGGCATTTCTTTCTTGACGGATAAATTAGCATACATGAATGTGGTTTCGACGAGAGGCTCAGCTGGAATCGAGCTTAACCTTTCATTAATGATGGCCTTTTTCAACTTATTGCGCCACCTCATGTTGCAGTTGGTGTGATATTCGAGATGTCGCAATACATTGTGTAGACGCAATATGCTACTCACAAGGTCGCTGAAAGCCCTTCGACAACCCGCGAACAGTTTTGTCGTCAGTCATTCTGATTGCTTTTTTACGTTGTAGTCTACAGCTACATGACTCCGACTGATCTAGTTGGGTTCGGACGCCATCTTCTGTCTGACTGAGTGTATAGGCTGCTGACGTTTACAACTGCCACACATTCACGGCGTGGTTACACTTAAACTCATCAGTGTCCCCTTTTAGCCTCGACTTGGTGAGCGATCCCCGGTAGTGTTGTCGGATGGTGTAACAGCACTTGCATGAGTTGTCTGACCCCATAGTTGATGGACAGCAGCAAAGAACGCTCTCCTTCAGGCATTCACTTTTTCAAAGAAAGAGAACCAGAAACTAATCCATGTAGGGTGGGTTTTTCCCTCCAGGGTGGTAAAGGAAGCAAATTTTGAAGTAAATGCTTTGACCGCCGATGGTGCCTTTACCAAGGAACACGTGACAGGCACTAAACCATTGACAAAGACTGCTGTAGAAAGTGACTCCCCTTGGACGGTGAGTGGCACCTCTTAAAGCAATACTTGAGGTAGTGAACTTCATTCAAGCGGGTTAGGCGAACATACAGGCTAGAATTTAGCTATCCGAGTTTGGGAAATTAGCCGAACACGATCGATAGCGTGTTTGCATTGCAGCGCATTCTAATGAGAGAGGCGAAATACACAGTCGAACAATATATTGGTAGGATTGATTTCAGTTCCGCGTTAACAGCTCAATCCGTAAATGGGTGTATTTCGCGAATATCATCCAGTCTGGGTTCAGGTAGAACATAAAGTTGACAGGAACCCTGGAACTACGCCCACCGGACGAGCTCCAAGTGGGGGTTAAGTCGGTCGTTGTCTGTTTGACACTCATTAACACGTGAGGTGAACTTTGTGCAGCATAGCCGGCTAAATGAAATCACAAAATAAGGGATTCAGCTGAGTCTCAGTTTAACACCAAGTTGAGTTTCAAACAAAGGTATTTCGCGGAAACTCATGGGTTGCGCCTAGCTGACGACGAAAGCAGTCATGCCCCTTTGAAGAGTTTTTACCGAACTTGTGAGTAGTGTCAAGAAACTAAGCCTGTTTTTCGTTATTCACTTTCAAGGTGAACCCCTACATTCGTCTAATGTTGCAATCTGGGTCAAGAAGCCTAACTGAAATCATAGCACATGTACGAATGAGAAAGTTTGCTAAGGAAAAAGGAAGTACAGTGGAAAACAGTTTTTTATCTTGTTCTCAGCAAAACAACTAAACCCGAAAGCTTCCATCAACAGTTGCTTCGAAATCAATTTGCCCTAACTTATCTGGTTAAGTGGAAAACGGCTTTGATGATCCTAGCGTTAAAAAAACCTGGGACTACTGGTGATTCCGGCTTAAGTACGGTCAGGGTTGACCGGAGTTGGCCGCCGAGGTACATCGTTTCGGTGAACTTTTGTGCCGGCGACGGAAAGGGCGAATTATTGTACCCATGCTACAAAAGACTATTTTCGGCTCTTACCTGACCGACTGAACTCTGATTAGAGCTACGAAGCTCGTCTTTTGGCAATTATCGGATCCACCGTGAAGAGTGGAAAGAGATTTGGTCATTCTCGATCGATCGTGATGTTCTGCCTTGGTTGCTTCTGAAACAAGAGATTTGTTGAGTTTCTCAGCTTCTACTAAGTTGGATTTCGGCAATAAAAAATCTGCTTCGATTTCTGGCCTGAGGTTAGCCTCAGCATGACTAGAAGCGATTGCTGTTGAAAGGTGGTTTACCCTAGCTCAGAAGAGGACAACTAAAATTTGTCTTACATGTCTAGTTCGGTTCACTATTTCACGCACATAGAAGGCATTCTCTTCTACATACAACCAAAATGACCAGGATTGACAAGCCTTGTGTGACACAGGGTGGAGAAATGTACTATGCGGGGTTAACGCCAGGTCACCGATCGCGAGTGTTGTCCTATACGGTAAACCTTGATAGTAATCGAACAGCAACAAGGAGCACATGCACGCGTAAGTTGATTTTAAACTCATTACAAATAGCTTTGGGCGGGATTATTATCGCATATTATTCTGATGGTTTCAGGAATACAGGCCTCATAAACCGTATCCCATTCGCTCGCTCAACAAATCAACAACCAAATCGGGCGTCCCACGAAGAACTGCTGCGAGTTGAGTCCACTTGCACTGGCTCATTTTTACCCAAAGCGTGCACCGCACCACTCAGATACAGCCCGACCAAATCACATGTGTCGAACAGCCGGGTAAGCATTTTTGCTTTCTTCGTTCGCCCGTAGTCGGAAGCGCGGTCAACCTGAGCAATCCAAGATATTACCATACACCACTCAGATTCAGCCCGACCAAATCACATGTATCGAACAGCCGGGTAAGCATTTTTGCTGTCTTCGTTCGCCCGTAGTCGGAAGCGGGGTCAACCTGAGCAATCCAAGATATTACCATTACTCCGACTATGAATTGACCGGGCAGCATAGCAATACGGTGTGCAAACCCGAGCGAACAAGCGCACTGACACCCTCCCCAGCCCAAAACTCCATCTGAGCTTGACTTGCTGACCAAGTCATTCAATGCGGTGGACAGTGTTTCGTTGTGCAGCAGAGAATATAATCGAAGAATATGTCGAGCACCGCCGGTTAGGCCATGTACTACGCACACCAAAGTGAGTGCTGTATTCCGTGCCCAATTAAGAGGCGGCCAACCTTTGGCGAGGCAGAGCGTATGAAATCGGTTACGAAAAGCTTGGAGACAGTGCTGGTATCACAGTTCGCTCCAGTAGCAAACCTCATACCAGACCTACTGTCGAACTTTTCAAGAAGTATTATGAAATTTAGCCAAAAGTTCTCAGTAGCCAGTAATATTTAACAACCTGAATCTCACAGCCGTCAGTAGGAACAGCACTATGTGAATACTGTTTTGCTAGACCAACCAATCTCTCCTTCACGCTGCGGTCGCCCCAAGAAATATCGAAGACTTACGACCTGCCCAAGTGCACGCCGAGTTCTGTCACCAATTCCTAAATATTCCAGACCCAGCTAATGACCTCTGAGAAAGCTGATTTGGGTCTTGCTCCAGCTCATATTCCAAACCTTAGACACTTTTGCACTTACTGACCAGTAAATATTTCCATCTGGACCCTGAGTAACTAAGACTTCTTCGAGAAACTGTCTCACTTCCGAACATCGTTGTTTTCCAGATGCAGAGTACCACACAGCCTTGGACGAGAACGAACGGCAAGGATCTCACGCTGTTGTACGATATTCTGTGACTGACTGATGTGAAAACCAACAGTGCTCCAAAATCCTGTTCGGTTCTTAAGGGATCCACGCTGGAACACGTTAGCCAGATGCAGTGGGAATGAGGTTTGTAAGCTTCCTACGGATGTCCGAGCGTTCGGCTGCAGCGTACACTCATCAAGCACCAGACACGCACGAATCAGCTACCAAACAGGCTTGCGTATGCTGTTGACATACACGGTAAGCGTGAAAATACTGGTTAACGTCACTAAAGGACAATCTCGAGGCCATTTATCCAGGGATCTGATCGACGGCACGATTCTATTTGCCCGCACTGCGAGTAAGCCTGGCGCACAATGTGCTGTATGCGAGGTGGTCTCATGCCTCGGAGTTGATTTATTGGCACTTGTCATCAGTTATGTTTCGCCTTCCATGAGATCTATTCAAACCAACCGTAGTCTTCCACTTCAATGTGACCACAACTACTAAGGCAGATCATAGAAACTGAATAAACTCACGATTGTTCGAGTGAATTAAAGGTAAAAGTCGTTATCAGAAGTGGTCTTTCCGGGGGTATCCAGCTGGAATTCCCAGGAAGCCAGCTTACGAAATAGGGAAAGTCAAAAGATTCAAACAATGCGAATGGATCAAGAAGTTTGATGCCTGACGTACCGTCCTGCCTTTGGTTCTGCTTACAGTCAGAAGAGCAGCAGTCTCTAGCATTTGCCACTTTCGTTCGAAACTAGTAAGATGATTGAATATTTTGAGGTACTACATTTCCAAACAGTTCTAAGCGATGTGGTGCAGTGATTGTTTGAAACGAACGTGAATTCTGAATTGCGAGAAACGATAATGAATGGAGTCATCTTATCTTGTGATCAGCTTATCCTATGAGGCGCGCCTATTGTTCCCGGGGAGTTATTCGGAAACAGGTTCGTTGGTAAAGAAGAACCAATGGACAAGGTCGTCACGTTCTCCAGACCATTGATTTTTTTCTTTTGTAGACTGCCACACTTTTCAACAGTTGGAAAGTGTCACTGCTACCAATGATATTGATTAGTCCTCCGAGGATGGATTGCTTTCGTTTTTCCCCTCGATTTATTCGAGCCGACTCCGAATTCCGCGCACACCGCACATACAAGTGAGTAACTAGGCAATTTCAATCACCGTATTTTAGCAAGAACATCACATAACTTCTGGTAGTTCTCATTTAGAGCGGTGACGGAGTGAACATGTCATATCACTTTTGGAAAGTAGGGGCACGACAACAACGATAACAACACCAACAGCAAATACAACAAAAAAACTGAGTCGCGCAAGTCAGTGGGCAAAGCAGACCATCATGATATTCTCTGAGGAGGATGGCATTGTGCGAAACAAAGAGGACAACACAGAAACCCAGACGATGGACGAAATTAGATCAGTTGAACTTTCAAAAATAACCCACGCTTATCTATTTACATGAGAACACAGATTGGATGGGTGGAAATAATGAACGGGGGTAGGGGAATTCTCACAACGTTCGGTTTTTAGATAAATGGTCGGCTCTTCGTGGAGCCGCTCACAGAAGAGCTGGGACTTTGGTGAGCAAGCGCATTAGTATTCAGTTGGGCGGTAAATGTGCCTGGAGGTGGTGGTGGCGGCGGCGGTGGAAAACCATGAGGAAAGGGCAAGCGACCCTGAAGTAAAAATGGAGGTGGCGGAGGGGGAGGAATATCAGAAGGAAACCCTAACGGTGGTGGTGGGAATGGTAGACCGGGCAAGTCAGGACGAAGTAACGGTGGTTGAGATGACAAACTCGTGAGAGATTGACCAGACACCGAACGTTTATCCAAAGACCCAGGGTTGGAAGGCAACAGAGGTGGGATATTCGGCCTTGGTGGTGAAGGACCTGCTAGGAACGGGCGGGCGGGTGCCAAAACCTGGGCGCGTAGGGCTGGTGGTAAAGTAGATCGTTCTGCCTCCATGAGCTTTTGGCGCAAACAGGCATTCTCATCGCGTAACTCTTGTACTTGATGATCGGCCGCTCGAGCAGATAGCCAGTTTTCATGTGATCGTTTGTCCAATTCTGCGATTTGACGACGTCCAACACGTTCGGTCTCCGCCAATTCTCGTCGCAACGCTGCAACCTGCTCCCGTAACGCCCTTACCTCGGCCTCCAACTCCTTGTTGCGCTTCCGACAAGTATTCAAGGCTTCCGATGACTCAGAACCGACAACAACATGCTTGCCAAGATCACGTTGTAATTCAAGCTCGCGTTCTTTGAAATACGCTGATAAAACGTCCAGCTTAGTTTGTATTGTATTTCTGTCCTCCTGAATAAGGTCATATTTCTGTCGCAGTTCTGCAGTTTCGCGTTCCATCGACTCAACCTTTGATTCCAGTTCTTCACGCAGCTGACGCTCACATTGCGATTTGGCCTGTTCAGATTTGAGTTGGCTAGTGGCAACATCCAACTTGGCTTGTAGGCGTCCAGTATCAAGAAATATAGCCAAATTGGTTTGCAATTTTGATTTCAATTGTTCCAAATTAGTCTTACCTGTGTTTACGTCAACAGCCTGAGCTGCATCATCAGCAAAGCCATCTTGCCCATCCGGTGATTGCTGCTTGTCGCTGTCCATACAAACCTCACCAGAATCGTCTTCGTCACGAGGAGGACTGATCACCGTATAACCAGAGGATTCCGGACTCACACGACTCTCTTGATTTCCATCAATAAGATGCTCCTGTTCTAGAGCTAGTTCAAAACTTCGTAGAGTTGTGAAAGTGGTTCTCAGACTGTCTAACTCGGCCTCTGTGGTAGCCAACCGGTCTTCTGCTTGTCTGCGTGCTTCCAACAACTTGTCCATCTCCGGACGCATAGCCTTCATACGGCCGTAGTAATCTAGAGCTTGATAATAAAGCTCTTCATGCTCGCGTTTGGCCTCTTCAAGAGCTTTCTGATTGGACTCTTCCAAAGCGGTTAGTCTCGACTTCCACGATTCTTCTGAGGCTAGCTTTTCTTCTGTCAGTGTGGAAAGTTCAGAACGCAACAAACTCAGGGACTGTTCACTATCGGCTAATTTCAACTTGTAAGTTTCTTTGAGTTCCGTAATCTTTGTCAAAGATTCGGTCAGCCGACTTCGAACTGCATCTAGTTCAGCCTCGGTCGTTTGAATCCGTTCGTTCAGAGTATCAATAGCCGCGGACTTTTCTCGCTGAGCTTGCTGTAGATCCAAGGTCATTTGAGCAGCCCAAGTAGCCAGTTGGCTGTTGGTTTCTTCCTGGTCAGCCAAACGACTGGCAAGCTGAAGTGCGCGCTCCTCGACTTGTAAGAAATGTGTGGAGGACAGTTTGTCTGAGCTATGGAGATAGGATTGTTTGAATAGCATGGACCAAAACAACTGGGATGTCATCCAACCAATCAAAACATGGAGAACAAACACAATCCATGCCATCAGAACACTCAGTGGTAAGTCGAGAAAATCGGTTAGGACCCCGTCTATTGATAAACGCCAGCCGGTTGGCATACGGAGTAAGATAATGTCAGAAGTCCAGAAGAAATAATTCACTCCATGTATAATCAGGCGAGCAAGTGGTGAGGCGCGGAGTTTCCTGGTGGATGTGTCTGAATTTACAGTTTGGTTTGCTGCCCATGCGATGCACTGAATCAACCCAACCTGCGAAGGAAAACTCGTAGCCGGTTGGAAAAAAGGCGCGTGGACCGAGGCATCTGTGTGGATGTTTGGCAAAGTTTCTGTGTGTTGTACACTCGTATTGTTCGTAATTAATTCGGAAAAACTATCGGAAGAAACTGGCTTGTCATGTACAATCGATTGAGGGACATGGATCGCATAATCTCCACTTGTGGGTAGGATGGGTGAGATCTCTGGAGTTCCGGTCGAGCTCATTTGTTGACCAGTTCTATTATCAGATGGTTCCACAGGAACACCTGAATTATCGGTCTTATTCGAGTCGTATAATGGATCCGAGTGCGATTGGTGAGGCGTTTCAAGCTCTCCTAAGGTATTCTTCGCGGGTCGACGACTACTTCCTTCTGTTATGGAGTGAAAGGTAGGTTGATCATCTGGAACAAATGAGGTATTAGAAAGTGACCCGGTGTTACTAGAAACGGCAGGATTGTTATCAAGAGACGGTGATACGGGACTTTCAGTATGAGAATCCACCATATCCGTGTCATCCTTGTTGGCAGATTCTACTTCATTTTGCACACCATAGTCGGGTCCACCGGTCGAAATAATGTTTTCCTCACTGCGGTTTACCAGTTCAGAAGAGCTGGTCTTGTGCGAGATCATATCGGACTCCTCGATTGTGGACGTATTCGTAGATGAACCAGCCATTTTTTCCATCGGTAGCGCTCCCTGCCGTTGGGATGGACTTTCAGCTGTAGAGCTGAGATCACGCTCACCACTTAACATCGAGCCATCATCTTGCGCACTAGGAGCAGCAGTGTCGTTACTGCTTGGTGAAGGCGAAAAAGCTGGATAATAATCTATGGATTCACCTTCTCCACCGTTAATAGTTGGTTCGGAAGAGAGACCCAAGATTTCGACATCAGTCTCTTTCTTTTCCAAAGCTGTGTCCTTTCCACGAGCTTTTTCGGAGGTCTCATCCTCTTCAGCAGGTAGCTGACCAGTCAACTGGCTATCGGCAGCATCCCGCTGTTGCACAGCATCCAAGTTCCAAGTGGTAGGGTGGTCTTGAGTTTCCCTTCTGAAGGGGTCCCTTCCATCGTTATCCTTGACTTCTAACTCCGGATTTGGTATCACACTAGGTTGAGTTCTGGTTACAGAATCTTCCGGGGTATATGGCGATGTTTGCTCCATGGTGTCTTCAAATTCGTGTATAGGTTCTTGAGTTACGCTCTTGAAAGAGTCCTCTCGATCAATATCCTCAGATTCTGTTTCCTGGTTGGATAGCGAACCAGGAGAATTGCCGGTCACAGAACTTTCGGACATGTTTGGTGATGTTTCATCAAAATGCTCATGAGTATCACGGGCCTCTTCTCCATTTCTAAAATCACCTGATGCGGTGGGCGAATCGGACAATGAAGTTCCATCTGTCGACCGCCGTCGTGATTTGTCATTTCGGATACTGCTATCATCTTGAGTGAAAGAGGACTGTTTATCGTCATTGGAAGCCGCAGTTACTACCACATTATCCGGGTGAGTTTCAGATTCATAAACCTTCGCGTCGTCCCTCATTTTCAGAGATGAACTAGTACTTTGAGTTCTTTCAAGCTCATCAGGTTGCTCTTGATCAGTTGTCAGAACTTTACTCTTCGTAGCCCTACCCACCTTTTTCTCAGCCAGTTCTTCGACCTCGTGTCTGGTCGTAGATGCACTAGATCGTGTAACTGAACCAGCTGAACGTTCTACCACATCGATGGCCCCACTGGTCTCATGCTGACCCACAGTAGCCGCCTTCAAACCGTTCTCAGAGCTGGCATTCAAGAGACCGTTCGTATCTACTGGTATTTCTGCAGGTGATTGTTTTTCGTGACTGGACGCCAGTTTACGCTGATCATCAGACAAAGAATCCGGTGCCTTTGGAGCTGACCCATGCGATCCGATGTCCTTCGTCTTTGGTGCTTCCAAACGAGGCATGGTCTTATTGGCTTCACTAGGCGCGACGGGAAGACTGTCTATTGTGGCTGTCGAACCAGTGCCAACAGTGCTCGAGTCGGTTTCAGGCATTTTTGAATGATGCATTGTCTGGAGTACGGCGGCCGATGATGGGGTCGCATTCTTCCTTACGTTCGGCTCGGAACCTGAAAACACGTATTTCTTAAGTGTTTTCACATCGGTTTCCCCAACTTCCCTAACGAAACTGGATTCCAAGATCGCGAACCTGTCACTTATTTTCACGCGCATGATGGAGGCTTTGGCTGTTTCACCCTTTCCGACAATAGCTACCGGGGAATCTTTTTTAAGCAGGATTCCATCTGCCGTGTTGATATCCTGGATTATTATACCATAGGAAAAGGGCGTTGTGCAGTCAGGATCCGCACAAAAAAGTTCGGTCGGTGAAAGCGCGTTGGCACGGAGAACGAGTTCACACAGTAGGAAAGTCAGCAGGAGATCCATCAGGCTGCAATGAATAAAAAACGCGTTATCCGACGGAGCGTTGAAAGTGCATCATGAAAACAGAGTCCAGCTAAAATAATTGGACGGACAAAACAGATTATCTGATAAACAAGGCCAAGTGGGTTTAGGAACCATCAAACAATCACGACCGCGTTTTTTGTGTGTATCATCATCATTGCCTACAAAGCCTGCACGAGCGCTCAGCAGCTTCAACTTCCGGAGTTGATCTTGGTTTGTAGTACAAAAATTGGAAAATCGTTCAGCGGTAACACCCTTCCGGTGTCGACATGCTGCCCGAAAGAAGCATGAGGGCTGGGATACTGTCAGATTGCCCAAGCCTAGACAGAAGAAGTCGAGATGCCGAAATCGGGTTTGAACCACGAACCTTCCGGTCAATAAATTCGCGTTTCAACTATCTCGCCTCCCTGAGTCGTAAAACCAACATACACTAAGCTACCACAATTTCAGCGCCAGTGTGACACGCAAGAATAGACGAGAGGTAAGTGAAGATAAAAATCCAAGAAAAAAAACCTGACTTCAAATCGGTATGAACAACTCAGACTCTGCATACCGACACTCATTCGCGGCCACGAGTGTTCCCCGTTACTCAACCATGATTCCATTCCATTCCATCTACCAACAGCCTAAGAGTTTGTCAGATTTTATATGGTTGATACAAATTACACAGGATCTGTCCCATTTTACAGCCTTCAACGTTCATAGCCCATTGCGAATTGGATAGCAAGCAGTTCTTTGGGAGACGTATATCTGACTCTTGACGGACATAAACTCTATCTCCGAGATATGCATGAGAAACTCTAGCTCAAACTACTACGGAGAAGCCCAAATATTTTACACCTCACGTTCTGGCGACTTTACTATTCCGACAATGACTAGTATCTGCAGTGTAGGTGATGAGCTCAGTTCCAGAGTCATAAGAACTATGGACTATGTTTCAGTAAACACCAGCCTCTTTGTTGTTCGGTCAACAAGCTTAAGATCCATTCAACTCAAGACGACACGGAATATTCACAAGCTGGAGTCAAGAAAGTGAAAATATGATTGCTGTCGGAATTGGTCACGATCGATTTGAGCAGTAAAAAACCCACATACTGTTGTCGTGACAGCCAACTTGAATACCGAATTCGGTTGAATAACTCCCAAACGAAGTCAGTTTAGTATCAGAGATCACAACACGGTATCTTCAGCTATGTACTGGTCAGTGACTGTTTCCATTCAGCACAATTTCAACATAAACACTCATACTTCACCAATTGGAGGCAACCAACTACAGATGACACATTCACATTACCCTCGTTGTCAGAATTATTCTTTCATTCTGGCACAATTATTCTAGTGAGTCCACATCAAAAGGAGAAGGGCACTGGACACGAGTTTCAAACTCATCGGAGCTCATCGACAGTGCACACATGTACTAGGCCTACCGGCGATTGAAATCCGGAATCTGAGAAACGAGAGAGGTGGGTTACCATTACTTCATCTGCGTACGCTGTCTGAACAATGTAATTCGTTTGTTCGACATCTTGGTAGGAAACTCAGCAAGTCTTTGTTGTGTCCACTGTTTGGCTCATCGATGGACTTAACGGAGTAATTGCAGCAGGACAGGAAGACTGTTAAAAAAATCATGCAGCTGTAGGACCCTTTCGGTTGACACGATGGCGTCAGCGTGTCAGTAACGAGGCGATTAGAAAACGGGTATTTGGTTGTGCTGCAGGCACCTCAATCCGGGAAAACGTCCAGCATCATCGACTGCGATGGCTCGGTCATGTGCTACGCACGCCGAAACACCGTCTACCGAGACCAGTGTTATTCTCCGTGCCTCCTTCGGGATAGCGCAAACCGCGAGGTGGACAGCACATGACTTGGCAGGAAGGCATCAAAGAGATCACGAAGAGTTTCGGTGTTGTTGGTATTGTGCGACTTCCAGGATGGTGTCCCCGTGACCCCATCTGTGCTTGGCTGGAGACGTTGCAAGAAATGGCGGCTAATCGATGTCAGTGGCGTTCGTGCTGTCAGTTTCT